GTTTGATCCCCGGTACCAAAAAAAAAAAAAAAGTGAATAAAGCAATTAAAAGGGTACTTTCCTTGGACCCTTTTAACCATCTCAGTAATGATTCTTTCCATCCTTGTAGTTGCTTAGGCCAGAAAACTTGAGTTACCCCTTGATTCCTTACTATTTCATAACACCCTGTATTCAGTTAATCATAAATCTTGCAGATGCTACATTCAGAAAAATATTTGGATCTGTCTGCTTATCCCATTTCCTATTTTCACTACTCTGGTCCAAGCCAGTATTAGCTTTTATCTAGATTGTTGTATAAGCCATCTGGTCTTCTGCCTTTGTACCTAACCTACTTCAGCAATCTTTGCTTGGCCCTCTCCCCCCAGTAGTACATTTGCTACATGGCAGAATTAAGATCATGTCATTCTTTTGCTCCAGACCTTTTGGTGGCTTCCCATAACACTCAGTAGAAGCCTGGGTTCTTAATAATCACTCCAACAACAAAACCAGCCTGTATGGTCTTGAATCTTTCAAAACCTCATTCAGTTTATTCTCTGTAACCACACTAACCTCGGTATTTTTGTCAAATAGCAAGCATGCATCATGTCGGGGGTTTTGTACTTATTTATTGTCCTCTGCCTGCAGTGTTGTAGAATGTGACCAGCTTTACATTTTTGCTCAAAAGTCACTTTATCAAGCTTCTGCAAGGCCTTTGTGTTCTCCCTATTTACTGTTGACACTTGCCTTTCACCCCAGCACTCATTATTCCTCTTCCTGGGCTTTAGTGTTCTCCACAGGTCTTATCACTGTCTGACAATTTACTCTACACATTGTACTACTACTGCTACCCCTTCTTTCTGCATACATTCTTTTTCCTTTCTTCTCTCCCTGCCCCTCGTCCTTCTTCTCCTCTTCTTTCTCCTCTTCTTCCTCTTCCTCCCTTCTCCCTTCTCATTGTTCTCCCCTCCCTTCTTCCTCCTCCTTTCTTTTTTCTTCTTTTGTGGTCTGGGGGATTGAACTCTGGGATGCTCTGGCACTGAGCTATATCCCTAGCCTTTAAAAATTTTGGGAACATGGGCAGGGGATTTAGCTCAGTGGCACTGGCACCTGCCTCGAAGTCCTGAGTTTAATCCCCAGTTCAACAAAAAAAATTGGGGGGATAGGGTCTCAATAAGTTGCCTAGGCTTGCCTCACATTTGTGAACCTGCCAGGAGTGGTGACGCGTGCCTGTAATTCCAGCACTCAGGATGCTGAGGCAGGAGGCTCTTTGAGTTTGAGGCCAGCATGGTCTACGAAGTGAATTCAAGGCCAGCATGGGTTACATAGCAAGAGCCTGTGTCAAAAAACAAAACAAAACAAACCCAAACCAAATTTATGATCCTCCCTCCTCAGCCTTTGGAGTAGCTGGGATTATAGATATGGGCCACTGCACCTGGCTACATTTTATTTATTTATTTTTTTTACATTTTGTTTCTTTATTCTCTCTATTAGAATGTAAGCCCTTTAAAGGTAGAGATTTTAGTATTTTGATTTATTTGGGTCTAGAACCAATCTTGGTAACATATTAAGCATTTAGTAATTATTTGTTGGGTGAAACCACTGAATATTCAAGATAGTATTGTGGAAAAACTAGGAAACCTGAATTCCAGATCTGTTGCTAAGATTCAGTAGCTTTGTGGCCTTAATCTTTGTGAGTCCCAGTGTTAGTATCTGAGTCAAGCAAGAGATTTTGGCATAGTTGGTTTTTAATACAAACCAGAATTTCATAACTGAAGAAACTCTTGGAGATCACCTTTCATGTAAAACTAAGGCCATTTCATTATCAAGGTAAAAATTCAGAACAGTGTTATTATTAGGAGTGCTGGATGTGTTATATGATAGAACCATGCACTGGTTTGTTGAAGCATCTGGGGGATGTGGGACTTGAAGTTACAGGGTTACCAGGCCAAAAGGAAGACCTTGTCTTTGAGGTGCTATTTGAAGATCAAGAACTTATCAGAACAAAGGCTGGGTATTTAGCTCAGTGGTTCTGCCACCTGCCTCGAAAATGCAAGGTCCTGAATTCAATCCCCAGTACCAAAAAAAAAAAAAAGAACTTAGAACAAAGCAAATCATTTTATTTTGAAGTTTTCTGTTTTGTTGTCTAATATTTAGGAAATAGCTTGATTCCCTCATTGTCTTTTTTTTTTTTTTTTGGTGCTGAACATTAAACCCAGAGCCTTCACACATCCCTAGTCGCCTCCCCCTTTTTGCCAGCCTGAACATAGTGAGACCCTGTCCTAAAAAGTCAAAAACAAACACAAAATCCTCCTACCTCAGTCTCCCAAGTGCTGCAATTATAGGTGTGCTACAGCACTCAGCCTCAATTTTAGATATACATATTTTAATTATTTAATTGTAAACAACCTTTTTATTTTGAAATAATTGTGGGTTTACATGCAGTTGTAAGATAATACTGAGAGATCCCCTGTGTCATTTACTTGATTCCCCCCCATAATAACAGTTTGTATAACCTTAATAGAATACCACAACATTTGTAGGCTCATGTATCCAGCCCTACATCCCAGGTACATGGCAGTTCCACCACCAGAATTCCTCATGTTGTTTTTTAATGGCCATACAAGTCCTTCCTGTTACTCCTAACTCTTGGTCTTTCTTTCTTTTTTTTGTGTGGTACCAGGGATCAAACTCGGGTCCTTGAGCTTGCAGGGCAGGCGGTGGTACCACTGAGATAAATCCTTGGCTCTCTTGGTCTATCTAAATATGTCTTTGTACTAAATTTTTTTGTATTTGGCCCTTAGCTTTAATATTGCAATAAAAGTTTGTATTTTATTTTTTCTTCTTTCAGCGGCTATGTGACTATGTGTGTGATCTTCTCTTAGAGGAATCCAACGTTCAGCCTGTGTCAACCCCAGTGACAGTGTGTGGGGACATACACGGACAGGTAATATTTCATAAAGAAGTCACGGATTCTGTACCATCCACAGGTTTTGTTTCTACTTGTGCTGCAAAATTAAAACAGTGATAGCAGATAAATCTACCTAGTGGTTAAGTTGCCTCAGTCTTTGTAATACTAATGATTCCTGGTTTACTATTCTAGTGAATGAAAGCAATGGTCAAATTATTCATGGAGTTTGTTGAAATGACATTTGCAAAGTGAATAGAATGTTGAGTTATTATTTATAGAATGGTGAGGGTGTTCAGTAGTGGTGAAAGATATATAAACATGTAGTACTCAGTAATTCTGATTAGTGGGATAAATGAAAGAAGATGATTTATTTTAAGGTGGGGATAAGGGGGAAGAGAGATAGCAGACAGCTACTCTGGACTAGTAGGGAGTATTTGAAAGTGAAATATTCATAGCTTTATCTGTAGCTCCTTTTATTGAGATCCTTGTCCCATGTAGGCTTCTGGAATCTGATTGGCTCCCTGGCTTGTTATATTTGGTTTTAGACACTTTTATTCTGTTCATTCTATTCATTTCTATATATTTTATTCATGTCCTATATTGTTGAAATTTTATCATTTCTTCTGGGAGAATGAGAATAGCAAAGATTCAAAAGAAGTAAAATTGTGCATGGTTTCATAGCAGTTACTGACATAAGATAAAAAGAATTAGCAGGGGGAAATGCAAAATCTAGGAAAGAAGCTCTTAAAACTCTTCTCTCCACTGAAACTGATGCACAGCAAGATTAAGTAATTTGGTCAAGGCAGAGGAGGCTTCCAGGTCAGCATGCCACAGCTCCCAGAGCAGGGGAGGCTTCCAGGTCAATGTGCCACAGCTCCCAGTGCAGAGTAGCAGGCTTCCAGGCCAACCTACCACCGCTCCCAGCACAGAGGAGGTGAGCTGCAGCAACACCCCCCACCCCCCCACCCCCAGTCAAAATGAGAAGACAAG